AAAAACACGCGTCGTTTATCAGTCATCTTAATGGTAACACGTTAAGGCTTAAGCCTATATGCAGCTGCAGTCTGACTTCAAATTAGGTACAAATGTACAATAAAGTGCAGATACTACACTGTATGAATGAGGTTGCGAGGAATGAAAATAATAGAATACTGCTCACGAATAGATTTGCTAATAATTTATTGTTGCGCGTAGCAAGAACATACATTGAATAGAGCTGATCGTTTGTGAGTCTAGAAGAGCGAAAATTGAGATTTTTTTTTTGACTGTATTATAAATTAGTAAATTAATAAACAAAAGGTACCTTTAGCTTAGTATCGAAGTTAAAAACAAAGTACCCATATATTAATTATTAAACTAACTCAACGGCTTTAACGACTACTTATTATTTAATTAGATACCAAGGAGGCCTAAGCAATTCGTATATTTTTAAAATCACTTATCGCCCTTTACTATTCTTCAAATTCACTCAAACCAAAATTGATTTCTAAACCGACATTCTTATACACTTTTATGACCGCCATTAAAAGATGTAAATGTTCGATCATTATCGCGGTTATAAAATGTATAAATAATAAAACTGTTTATCATAATTATATTACTATACCAATATTTTACAAGTTTAATAATAACTGTTGGCTGCAATCCATCAATAATAAGTAGTTTAATAAGTGACATCCTTCATTAGACACACAAGGGCTTATATTTTATTTTTTCAAATATGATATACATCTTTAATCGAATATTTCATTATTTAATTATACATATTTTATAATTATTTTCTCAAAAAGTAAACTCGTAGTGAAGACAACTCTTAAAATTTAAACAATAATTTGATTTGTAAACGTTTATCGGTAACACTATATCTAAAGAATATTGCATACAAATTTAGAACAAATTTGACCATTTTTAAAAAAAAATATTGAACGCCCCGTAATTTTAAGTTAAAAATTATGTATTTTTTTTGGATGTTTTTTTAGATCCTGAAGGTGAAGGGGTGTAATTGTTAAATTTTTAGCCCATTAAATTATCTTTCAGGTACGATTACTGATCGTTTCCGAGTTGCTCACGAAGAAATCGGTTCTGCGGTTTGGAGGATATCGTGGGTGTAGACACAAAAATAAAAACATAGCATTGTAAAAACAAGCTCCGCATCGAAGCTATAAGAAACATTTTGCAATTATTTATACCTATTATTTTTTTTTTAATTAATTGCTTTTGTAATTACACATTATAGCACCACCTATTATTTATTTAGTACAATTCTAATTTAATCATTTTCTTAATCCCAACGTTAAAAACGAAGATTATGGCTGAATCAGATAAAAAATAAATAACATAATTTTAGGCGGGTGACACACAGGGGAAATGTGTTTAATCAAATTAATCACATGAAACATATTGCTTAGTCAATACACACAGAACAAATTTGTTTCATAAATATATTTTTTTTGGCTACCTACTTAACAGTACATACAGCTCATTTTAGTAATAAATATATTGTCTGATAAATGATGATGACATTATTGTTATGTGCCATATGGTGATTAAATCAAAGAAAGAAGATTAATTAAAAATACATGCATTTGGTATGATACTAAATAATAATAATATATATGATATAGTAGTAATAATAGTATTATAATTATAATTAATAATTCAAAATATAAAAAAACTATTATTATATAACAACTTACAACAATATGATATTAAATAATCAATTCTAATAAAATTTTAATTTTAAATTAATAGAATTTAAATTTAGTTAACTATGTTAATAAATTAACATATATATTGTATTAAAATACAAAATAATGCAATACATTATTTTATAATTATACATTAATTAATATACATAGCTTTTATTTCGTTGTAAACTGCGCAGTCTATTGTAAAATGATGAAATAATTACATGCGAGACAAAACATGTTTTATTTCATGAAACTTGTTTACAAAATAAATTTGAGATAACGTTTCGGAAACACCAGTATGTGTTGCTCTATTGTAATACACGCGTTTTTCACTAACAAAAGAAATTTCTTGTTCCATGAAATAAATTTTACGACAAAAATTTCCACTGTGTGTCACCCGCCTAAGTCAACATTTTACACATTAGTATAAAAATGGCTACCTAGTTATAATAAAGAATTAGCGATGTTCGAACGCATTAAGTACTTTGTAGTTTAATTTCTCCTGAAATTTTCCCTTGCAATAGGTACGGTACTTATCATATTATACAACAACGGATCTATAGAATATAAGATGTTTTATTTTGATCCATTGGTTGATTATTGTTATTTTTTTATTCCATCTCGTACCGCTTTATACATTTATTTGCACAGGTTTATTTATTATTATTATTATATAATTTTTTTTTATTCGAATAATAATAATAATTATAACCCTTAGCCTTACGTAAACTATATTATTATTATTATTATTAATATCGCGGAGAAAGAGAGAAGTTAAAAAAACAGAACCCAACTTGTATTTATGTTTTGATAGCCTGAAGCTCCTAGTGTCGTGATCGGATCGCGGGAAGGCCCGTACGGCCGTCATTGTAAGCCGTTCGTACAACATCCCATGTGTGCGTACGCGCATAAAATAATCCATCATCATTCCAACATTCACGAACGAACTCACGGACAACACACACATATACCCGTGGGCAGACCGTCAGTTTTACCTGTGGAATGCCACTGCACCCAAACAACATTTTCGCCCGGACTATATCCCCTCCGTTTTCCATTGGTCTCAACGGGCTCGCGCCGTTCCGTCTACTTTACATTAAATACATATTTTATATTATTATATTGTTTCCCTCCGTTAACCTCAAATCGCTTAGGACGATATCTTCCATCGCTTTTCGAGATAACAAACATTTCTTTACATGATTAATATCGTTATTATATCTATTATCTTGTTCGTTCATAATGTCATCAGTCATGTTACATTTTTAACAAGCACCAGAATCAAATAGAGGGAGGCGGGGGATTAGCCCTCACATATATTTGAATGTTCCTTTAAAAAATAATAAATTTAGTCAATTAGTAATTTTTATTTTTTAGAAATAATGTATCCGAGAAATAATTGTTTCCTAACACCTGAATTTTCAATGAAATTCCGCCTATGCATCGAACCTGTGACCACAAAATGTTGACGGAAAACGTCAATCTCGCTGTTTCAAAACACTTGACCTACAACTGACAAATATCATTTTTGATTACATGAAAAATAGAATTATTTTTTTATAACTTAAGTACTACGCATTATTATATTTGACATTTTACAATGAAATAAGAATGTTCATATTTACTTTTACGTTTTGTACTAGACAACACAGTATTTGAAGACATAATAGTAGTTAGAGGCCGAACCCTAACATCCCCTGAATGGTTGTATTTTTATAATAACCGGATTTTCGTACAATAGTTTAATTTAGATACCCTGAAATTTGTTTTGAATACTAAATAGTTAGTAATATAGTAGTTACAATAATAGTTTGTGGGACGTAGTATAAAATGTGATCCCATTCTTATTCGTTAACGAAACGCAGACGTTTAATTTTATACTCGCCAGTGTTGAAGATTGAGAGTAGTCTATATGAACTGTGTATGTGTGCAGTATATGTAATTGAATAATGATAGAGTATACAGTTTGTACGAATTATAATTATGATTTATTATACTCGTCGTCGTGGTGCGGTCGCCGGATCCGCCGCGGCAGTAGTGTGTGTGTGTGTGTGTGTGTGTGGAAAGAGAGAGAGAAACGAATTCTAGAGATGAATATCTCAAATCGTAAAGGTCTAATTATTAGGTCGGCTACAGGTTGTTGCGATAAATTAATACCACGGACTGACGCGATGTCGGAGTTAGTATATAGTATTATAGGATGTATATAATATGCAAATGCCCGCTGTTGGCCTCAGTTGTATTTTAATAACGTGGCGGCATCTCCCGATTGTAATGTTCTGTTATGACTTAAAAGTCTACGTTGGATGATAAATATCGTGGTCGGACGTATCGCGTGTACCTATTTAGTCCGGGAGATTGGTCGGAACACAGTCGATTGTATGTATAGAGATAAAAAATGTCTGTGAGCTGCAGTAGAAGTGTAATGAGTACTTACAAGTACTAAAACGCGTGTAACGGTGATACGTTAATGCAGTTTGTAATTTTTAATTCGTTGAAAAAAAAAAAATTCGAAACAATATAATACTTATTACCGGAGGTGTTTTAAATTAAAGATTTTCTAAATATCACTGTACCTAAATTGTTATAATATACTCGTACATTAAAATATTATTAACTATTTATAGTTTTTAAATAGTAACTTATACTAAAAAAATATATTACATAAAATATTACCTCGTTAATTTTAATACTATTTTTTATGAACTTCGTCATATTTTACAGAGTTCTATCAAACTTTAAAAACTGAAATGGTGACGTACATATTTATTTATAACTTGTAGCTTTGTGTTAAACATTTTTTAGTGTAAGAGAAAACTTAATTATTAATTAATTTTGTTTTCTATATTATTTTGTTATAACATTAATTAGAAGCTGCAAAAGGCCTTAATAGAGCAGAAAAAAAAAATGAATTATGACTAATAATGTTATTTCTTTCTAATTATTTGGTAGTCCTTCAACGACCTCTGTTATTTGTCTTAAAGTTAAGTTTTCCTCATTATTTATGGTTTTTTTTAATTACAGTCCCATTAAATTAGTTATTGTAAAAAAGTATAATTTGTATATTATTGTTGTCGCAGAATAAAAACTAGAAATTGTTAGGCTATTTGTAAACTGCTATAGGAAGATATTATGGTAGTATATTCTCATATGTCAATACAGAATTGAGTTCATAGAAATCATAATACCTACGATGCACAACAGAGTGTATATTATATTAATAAAACATATATTTACAAACGTTATGATATATATATATATATATAATTTGTTTTATAACTATATATTATGTGTGTGTTTAAGGTTACAATAATTCCAGACAATATATCCAATACTTAACATCATAACCACGGCAATGGACAATTAAAAGCATATCGATCACATGATTGATTACTCCGATGTCTAGCGCCAATCAGGTAAGATGATTTAATTGTATTTAGTTTTATTTACGAGCACATCTTCAATAATTTTATCGTAACTACAGTACATGGGCGTAAGAACCGGATGCTCGCTCGAGTCATTTGAAACTGAATGCAGATGAAACCTGCTGCCGTTGCAGGGAGTAGATAGGAAAGGACGTACCTAACAGTAAATGTCGTGTCTTTGGTATATTTGATCGATTTATCGCCAAACGTCACTCCATCTCGACTCGCAATGTCTTTGTATCCGCGTTGGCTTATTTCTTATTCCATTATATATCCAGGTCTGTTATTAGATAGATCCGGAACAACACTATTCCTTAAATACAAACTTGACCGCGTGTAAGGAATACGGAAACCCGTATATATAATATATTCTGAAACTAGGTACGACAATTGTTTCAGATTGTTTCAGTCGAACATAATTAGTAATTACAGTGTCTCGATACACTCAATGTACTACAAACCTCTGTTTCTGTTTAAAGTCTGTTGGTTTGTCGAGATGGATTTTTTTTGTTATTTAGTAGGTCGTCAATATTCGGCCACGTGGTTTAATATATGACTGTCTCCGATATTGAGGTATATATTGAACAAAGTCCGTATTAGAACTTTGAAAGTCTAGCGTCTAACGCTAATTTAAGAAAAACGTTTGCAAGGCTCGTGGTATATCGTTCATATATTTGTATTAAAAGCTATTCTGTACTATAGATGAGTATTGAAGCGGTACTCCTATACATACTCAAATGCCTATATTACCTATCCTGGAGTGCGGCAACTGCGAAATGTCTTACAGTTAACACATAAGCTCTTATCATAATCTCACATGCAACCCATAAGAATCGCCATAAATGCCTTTTCATTGATGCATTATTGCGATACCACGGTGCAAACTTGGCTGTCGGTGTGTATAATATAAAAACGCTTATAGCGAAGGCGCGACCACTCGTGATTCGGTGTGCCATGGTCGACAACGACGATCTATGGGTTCGCCGGCCAATCTTTTCTGAGGCTATCCGAATCAACGTAAGTACAGACCCGGAGCAACCCGGCAATCAGAGGCACCTGTATATATAAATAACTTGTATAAATATGTACAATGAGCTATACAACGACGGTTGTTTTTTTTGTTTTGCATCCATAAAGTTCTACTAGCCGTCCTATACGATACCGATCGCTGCCGTAGTTTGCTGGCGTAGGATGACCGCTCTATCTTCCTAATCTCGGCACGAGCAACAATTTAAATAATAACGACAAACGCATAAAAAACCACATGGCATATGCACTGTGTGAATGCATTCCCCTCAGGTGTTTTACATTGTCTTTAATATCTCCAATTTTGCTCTTTTTCTTTAGGCATCTATATCTCGTTTCCCGTTATAATGTTGTACTTATATTTTATGTTCGGCAATCGTAGGCGGACTCGCGTTATCTGAGCCCTATATGATTTATATATTTTGGGTGGTCCCAAATAAGCGGCACTTTGAGGGGTAGTTTACGATCTACTACATGCCTTGAATACACCACTAATGTTATCGCACAACAGAAGTATGAATTCTGTAATTTGATTTGCGAAAATCTATAAACAGATGTTACATTACCCCTCTTTTAACGTTTCAACCGGTGGTCGCGGTCATCTGACTAAAATACAAAAAAAACACCTCACTTTTACGGTCGATTATACGGTTTATTATTGGTTATAATGTTTAAAAAGAGTTTGTATGTACATATATATTTATATAGTAATACATTCAGACAGCTTACGAGTTGTCCCGCTGAGCAAGAAGGCACGTAAAAATGTTTTAGCTGAAAAATAATTTTGGAAGTCGCTTTAAATATATACGAATACTTCGAACAGTAAAAAAAAAAAACAAAAACGTGAGCGTACACAATCCTTGGAGACACGAACATTATATTATTTTCTATAATATCAATTATCATATACTGACATACCTATACACGCCATTTTGTCGGAACGAATTCTCTTTATATACGTATTCTAATTTGTCTTGTAGTGTACCACAAGGTATCCGCTGAACACCTACGCGGAATACCAAAATGTATTATAAAGTTATTTTCAAAATTGTAGTATTGTACAATATTCACATTCTAAACCTCCCAGGTCGTGTCGTGTTTGCTTGGAGATTATGTGCTGAGCAACGTGTAAATTTCATTGGCTGTGACGTTTTTAAGAAAAATAAAACATTACAATACGAGTATATACATGAATGGAAAGATAGACGCGGACGCATTGGGTCGCTGGTCTTGTAACATTACGCCCGTGCATAATAGCATAAAGAAACTTGTCAGAATACTACATGGGTACAATCGAACGCATTGCAGTTGTCGGACCTCGCCCGAAAGAACCGTATTATTTTTGAAGCTGTCAGGTGCACAAACGGTTTAGCGCAGCAAAAAGAAAAAGGAAACCTACAAATGTTTCCTTTATATTCTTCTCCGTCAGTCGTCTCGTGTGTGGTGTATATTATAAAATAATATTATTTCTCACGCGGCAAGACGGTCGTTTGGGGAGACTTAAACGCGCCGACGCAAATACGACGTTTAACTGAGGGATTCGATTTATTATCATAATATTATATTATAGAGGAAAGCTGAAATACACGTCGGCAACAAAATAAGACTAGTTTGACGGGCCGCAGTAAACGTACCTGAGCGTAATACTATTATGGGAAAAGGGTTAGTTTTTATATTGGAAGGGTTTACGTGTGACGACTGGGTATTATTAATCAACCGCGGGTGTTGCGTTCTGACTTTAGTGACGGTACCGTCCGACAGACAAGGTTGGGGTATCCTTGGCTTCTCTAGGGGTATGACGAGTGGTTAATCAAAGGTATTTACTATAATATGTCGTACGAGGAAAACATCCGCTGGAACACTTTAGTGTCATAATTGGTTCACTTCATGGTCGGTTTAGTCATGAGCTTCCGGTCTGGCGGCTTTATACACGCAGTCAGTTTAGCTGTATAATTGAAATGAACAATCGAAAAAAGTTTTTTAAAATAAGCCGATTCGTGTGAGTGGACACCGTGAACTGGCTAGTATGCAGCTGTGGCGGTGGCAGTCCGCGGGGGGCGACTGAGATGAATTTTTTTTTAAAGAAGGGTCTATATCGGATTAGTCTCGCACATGTCTTTCATATTAGTCACAAAGGTTCAACCGACCGTACACTGTGACTTCAGGTTGCCCATAAAATATTAGTATACAGTGAGAGAGTTATGCGATTGGAATTTCGAATTTTACTCTCAAATTTTTCTATTGATTCTTTATTTTTTCCTCCATATTCATTGATAGTCGATAGATGCTGCAAGATGCTGATCGCTACCGCGGTGTTTGGAACACGTTGATTTTAATTGCAAAACTCTTCACAACTTAAGACTCCATGCACGGCATAATATATAAACGTTATATCTGCACTGGCTATGACTATACTGAAAAGCAGTTGCTCCACTTGCAGCAAATGCGGTCGTGTGTGTGTATAATCGTCGGTTGCTGGGTAATGGGTAGAAGATACATAGAAGCAAGGGGGGAAATTAAAATAAGAAACGACGCTCATTCACACGTTTTGTATATTATCTCCTAGTTAACTACTATAGTTTACTGCTATCCAGTAGCCGTAATTCTGAATCCGTCCGTGCCGAGACACATAATAAAAATCCAATCTCCATCCGTCGCGCATTAATTACTTTCCTATAATGTATTCGCCCATTAATTTGCTCTCTCGCCCAGGCATTTTCCATTTTGCTCGCTTCTGTGTGTGTATACTTAGTTACACGATGACCACGACGACGAATGTTGAGCTGGAAATAAAGAAAAAAATCTCGACGTGTTTTAAGTAAATAACCAGTTTATATACGCTCACAAACTCACGCAAGTGACTTGTTACTTAACAATATTGCGATTACTAATGTGCAACTAGTAGCCGCATATGGTAAATTACGTTTTCATATATGTATATATTATATATACCTATACTCAAACCCCGCCACGTGGACCACCGAAATAGGAATGTCAAAGCAATCCTTTTAATGGGATGTAGCATAATATCGCCCCCCTATTCCTGCCGCCGGTTTTTAAAACTTTATTTATTCGCTATTAAACGCTATATATATATATATATATATATATATATATATATATATATATATATATATATATATGTGTGTGTGTATATAACATGATCTGTAAGTCTGCGGCGCTGGAGTTTTTTAAAATTGTTTGCCCAGTATAACGCCTTTGATCGACGTTGCTTCCCGACAAATACTTGATCTGTGGAATCCGGATCGTGTACGCGTTCAAGGACCGATAGAAGAACGTCGTATATTGCTTTGCGAGTAATCTGAAGAAAAAAAAATGATAATAAATAACTGATATTGTTCCGTCGGTTTCGACCAAGGTCCAAGCATATTCTTCAAGAAGATTCTAGAAAACGGGATTACACACAACGAATGCGGTTGGTCTTCATGGATTCAGTAAAGAATTTGAGTTAACTATTGTAAAACGTTAAGACTATAGTCTATAATATAGAAAGCAGAAGTTTTATCGGTGTTGTAGCACATATGATTTATTAAGAAGCCGGTTCACCCACCTCTGTTTTTGTATTGCAGAGAAAGCAAATATAAATTTTAGACATAAAAGTTTAAACATTTTTTTCTTGTTTCCGACAGCTTAATATGTCGTTAAAATGTTAACGCGGGGTCCAAGCAAAAAATAGTGAAATATTTAAATATTCAGATTTCATTTCGGGTTTTCGACAAATAGCTAGCTGAGTATGAAAATCTGGTTTTATAATTTACACGCGGCTTATAGTGTGTTTATACACTCTTCAGTCTATAACCGGTTGTTTTTTGTAGATACATAACATACATTTATAAATATAAAAACCAGTATTCTTTACTTTTCGTACAATAAATAAATGATTGCTAATAGTTTCTAAGTTTGTTGTTAAATATTTCGTGATTTTCATGCACAACTGGACAGTA